CCCCAAAACCCCAAAACCCCAAAACCCCATAGATAGTTGAAACTAGAGTTAATAGAAAATTCGAAATAAAAGAGATTATAATCTTTCTCACAATTATTTTGTATTAAAATGGTTTTTACAAGTAACTTATCGATTATAAATGCGCGTTAAACACTTCAAAATTGGCAAGACAACTTCAATGCCCCTTTTCACATCAAACTGCATGGTATTTACTATGAATAGCACTTCCTTTAAATGCAAAGGTCTCTCAGATTCTATGAGAAAAATGTCTATATTCTGAATCAAAAGGCTCTACGAATCTAGCATTGGTTCTTTAAAACTCTTTCAAGATTACCGCTATAATAGAAAAAAAGCACAGTCACATAGATGAAGACTTCATCCTTATAAAATACAGATATAACCTAGACAAGGTCCTCAAGTCCCGAGCCATAAGTCATTCAAGTGAGGAAAAAATCACCATACAAGAACATCACAGTGGTAGGTTCCTCTCCAGACAAGATTTAGTATGAGAGAGTGGAGTAATCTCTGAATCATGATGTGGTATTTCAGACTAAAGTGGTATAAAAACAGCCTAGACGAAAAAATTAACATTAGGATGAGGTCTCAAATAGTAATACTATTAGTAGTATAATTGAGAATAATTAGTCTTTAAGCTAGCACCAATAACAATTAGCCTAGCCAGAAGGTAAATTGAGAAATTTAAAGATTTAACAACAGAGTTTTATGAAAAGACAGTAGTAGGATAAGGATTCAGTTAAATATGCTATGAATCAAAACCATTAAACCATTGGTAGCTTTATCAAAACAGAACCAACTAGTTCCTTTACTAATGCCTCTTCTTCTCATAATAGCATAAGTATGTTTAAGAAATCTACTTTAGACTCTAATTTCCAAGCTGAAAGCTTCAATGAATCAAACGGCACTCAAATGAATGTAAATGAGTTCAAGAGAGTTAGAACTGTTGCTGAAAAGAAAAAAGATTAAATAAAACCTTATAAGAAGGATGAGATTAGAGCTGAGGATACTCTTAATAAGATAGATAAGCTCCTCTAAACGACAGAAAATCTAACAAATCTTAGAAAATTACTTGGTGAAAGTCAACTGAACTCTAGTAAAAGTACTAAAATCATAGTAAATAAAGATGAGACTTAGCAAGCATCTGGCCATTCAATCCCTATAAAGACAACTATAAATACCTAGACTTTATCATCTAAGCTGAGCATTATAAAATCACCTTCAAACTAAATATGTCTGAAGAAACCTATTATTGCTCTTGCAAATTAATAAGAGGTGTAAATCTAGAAGTAAAAGAGTGTTAAGGTACTTTAGTAAGTTATCCCTAATACAAACTATAATTCAGAAAACACCAACAGATCCAACAGATAATCAAACTAAATGAAGTCCAATGAGAAAAGCATCAAAGAGTAAAAAGAAAAAACAGAGAGCAGACTTGAGAAATACAAAAATCAAACTCCTAGAACTGGAAGTAACTAAAAGGCTGCTGGATCTACTCTGAATAGTCATCGATCAAATAATAAAAAAAATTCGCCTTAAGTGAACTAGACATCAATAAAACACAGTCCTTCCCCAACTTAAAAGCTAGAAAGAAAATATTCGGAACCAGGAAAATTGACTATGAGCAGGTAAAGTTCTGAGTTGAAAATGAGACTTCAGAATGTTGAATCTAGAGTCCATCAAGAAACTAAGTCAATCAAAGCTAAGTATGGTTCAAGAACACATTCAAATGATATATCTGTGACTCAAAAAGGAAAGTTTAGGACTCCTTCATCATCTCCACCGAAGAATCAAGCTTAACTTAAAAAGGAGGAAAAGGAATAGATGAAAAAGTGCTTCAGCTAAACAATAATTGAAAATAAAAGCAAGTAGCAATAGATTTCTAGAAATCAACAACAGCATTATTAGACAGAGATTGAGCCATAAAAGACTACAGAGTTAGTCTAGTTCACTAAAAGATTGAGTTCCTAGCATTCATAAAGCTCAGATAGTTTTACTAAGAACTAACGTCGACCAAGATCTGAACGTCAAAAATCTCAATCTATAGAGCAGCCTAACTAAAGTTAAAATGAGGACTCTATCATATAATAACTTTAACCACCCTAGCCCACTCTTACTAATTACGTGCAACTCCCTCAAATACTATATGAATGGAATATGAACAGCATAATCTTTGAAGAGTAAAATGAATTCAGTGAATCCAAGGAGATGAAAAGCATAGAAATTATGGCTAATTTGAGAATAAATTTGGCATCACAAGATATCCCTAGTAAAAAAATTGACTTCTATCAGAGTATAAACAATAACAACCATCAGGAGAGTACACCTGTGAATTAAGATCACACTCCTTAGCACTTTGACATACTCAGCAGTACACATGAGAGAAGATTAACAGGAAATGGAAACGAGGAGAACAAGAGCAGCAAGTTATTCAATGAATCGATTCATTTTTACTCAGAAATGAATCAAGAAGGACTTGACAATGAGGAAGAGACTCCTCATAAATACACTTCCCCTTAGATTTCAAACATACAGTTTATTCAATCACCCTCTTAAGTATCTGATAACACTCTGAATGTTTATGATCTAGAAAAACCAATTGATCAAAATAAGTAACTTGCCCCTACTCCAAAGCCAAATCAAAGAAATGACTTCGTCCTAGACTACTAAACTGACTCTATATTCAAGCAAGACAGTAATTATTCATAAAGCAATGCTGATAATGACCTTGATAAGTATATGTTTTCACCATCTTTATCTCAATCTGATACTGATCAAAATAGCAAGCAAAGATAAAAAGAATTCAAAAGACTTTAGCAAGCCAAACCTGATGGCTTAAGACATTCAAACAACCGAAGTGCCGCTTAGACTGTGAAGAATTTACTCTAATCAGGAGCACTATCTTCAGCCTTATCACCTGTAAAGAATGATGGATAGCAAAGAATAGTAGAGATCAAATAATTAGATGATGAAAGTGAGAGCGAAAACAGCAAGGGAGAGGACAGTTTTGGGGCATGCAATAATAAGTTAGTTTATATATTCAACTGAGTTTGGCTATAGCTATAAAGCGAGGAAAAATAAACTATTTTAATTTAAAGATTAATTTCATAAAAAAGTTATTAAAAAATCAACAATTAATTATAAATATAAATTATCTTTACAATGAGCAGAAATAGAAACAGAATACCTGCAGATAGAATCTAAGGAATCCAAACTCTTGAGCTAGAGTAAAGACCAGACCTTGCTTAAGATGAGTATTTGGATAAGCCATTGAATAGCTAAAAAGATGAATACCGAGGCCATCACTATTCGACTTTAGCTCCACCGCTATTAAGCACCAGTAAGAGCAAATTGATAAGTTAGATAGCTCGAGGTGGCTATAATGATTTGGAAACCCCTTTGGAAGGTAGACATTCAGAATTCAATATTTCTAGCATCCCTTAGAGCGCATTACTTCATCACCCATAAAAGCTTGCTTTAAAAAAGAAAATTCTTCCCTCTACTACTGGAAAGGACATGTAATTCTATAGTAATAATCTAAATAAGTCAGATTATGTGGATAATATAAACCTGAGCAATAAAAATGATTAATCTTTCTCTAAATTCGCTAAGCATCATAGCCTTAATAAAACAGTGATCACGACTTAGGAACATGATACTAGGAATGGAAAGAGCATAATAGGCAACTAAACAACCAAGTCTAGTTTTCATAAGATGAATTTGTTGCCTAAGCTAAACAAAAGTTCAAGAACTAGAGATAACTTTAACACAAGTAAAAAGAGGATATCCCATAATGTGGTGGTGGATGAGTAAACAGAAAGTTTTATGAGTAACGGTCTAGATATAAAGTAAAAAGTCAGTTTAAATGGAATTGATAACAGTATTGAAAATGTGACTGAATTAGTACACTCAGCCTTAGAAGCGTTATAGTTAGATATAAATAAAAGACCTTTAGAGACAGAGGACATTGGTAGACTTTGCTCACAATTTGGACTCTAATTATCTCCCTTCCAATAGTATGAAGCCTTATTCTATGCTAGAAAATCATCTTAGGAAGCATCTAAATTTTCACTCGTATTATTGATAACTTGGCTTAGCAAGCACTTGCCTATTTTGAGGCCTGTAAATAGAAATCTAAATAAAAGTGTCCTAAATTAAACAAGTAGCTAAGACTTTGATGATTTTGGGAAATCAATGACAAGAAGAAATTTTAACAATTCCTTTATGCAGAGAGGTGATAATCAATATAGATCTGTGGGTAGAAATTAAATAAACCCATATGCCTCTATGTTTTCAGGCGATACTAATCTACAATCCAGGACAATCTATGCTGATCAAGACTTTAAATAGTAAGTTTAGCAAACAGTAAAGCTACTTCAAAAGTTGCCCACATTAAAGAAGACTATATAATCTAAGATGATGAAATGGCAGGATGACAGGGAAGAAGATGCTGCAAAACAAGGTATAGAGGGAGCAGTCAAAGCTAGAATGGATATCAAGGCATTTTATCGAAGAAAAGAGGAAGAAAGGGAAGCATTGCTTAAGAAGTTTTTAGAAAATGAGCCTAATGCTTGCCATGCTAGCAATCTTTATAGGTTACTGACCAAACGATGGACTGAAGAGCCTAATGCTTACAAGGTATGTTCAAAGCTTACGCCAAAGAAATAAAAAAGAATAAGAGATATACTTCTTGAAAATAGATATAATTGAAAATGACGCTTGAAATACTGCCATAAGTTGAAAAATTCTGCTGTTTATTATTAAGTTTCCTCGTGAATAAATGTATGAGTTTTATTATTTAATTAATTAAGTTTCCTGTTTAAATAAATATATGAATCAGAGGGGTTTTGGGGTTTTGGGGTTTTGGGGTTTTGGGGTTTTGGGG